TGGGCTTCCCTATAGGCGCATGGATATTATCCTATCACAGACAGCGTTGTACCTCATGACTGATCTGTATATGTTCTTTTTGACACTGAATGCAACACCATTCCTCTTCAATGTGTCATTTCCGTCATAGTAAAACATGTAGTCATCAGATTCAAAATGACCAATACCAGTCCATTTCAGCTCACTAATGCCTAAGACATCGATGTTTATGCATTCCATTTCATTTTTGACAACTTTCAGTTTTCCCAGATTTATACTTCATACATTCCATGTTCCGATTTACAGTGGATGTTTACAGCTGTTTCTCTTCATTTTGAGTTGTGCCCCATCAGCAAATGAAGGTCCTGCGGGCTTTTCTGCCCCGGGCTTTACTCCATTTGCATCATCATGATCAACTATAGTTTGAGGAGGCAGCTCTTTCCCAGGCACATTTTGAGTGCCTTCCAACCTGAGGGGCTCATTTCTGGCACTATATCTGACAGTGTTTCTCTGCTATTCATAAGGTTTTCAGTGACTAAAAATTCGGAAGTAGTTCGTCACTCCTTCTTCCTAGTCTGTCTTCATCAGGAAGCTCATCTGCAACCTGTCCACCATGGGTGACTCTGCTGGTATTTAAATACCGCTGGCATAGCTTTCAGAATCACAGCAACTCACAAGCCACCACAGTATGAGAAACTGACAGAGGAGTGGTGGGCTGGGGATCTAGGACTCTAGAATTTGAAAATAATAGTCTTCTCTTTATCCATAGACATATATATGTTCCGCTGGTTTTGCTTCTCTAGGAAACTCAGCCTAAAACAATCCTCTTGTGTTTTTCACTTTATGGGTTCCATGACAGTATTATTGAATTGATTCTATATGACTCTCGCTTCCTAAAAACTCATCTTCAGTTTCCAGGTAACAGTACTGTGCCCTAAGTGAAACTGTCCCTTTGAATATGTAAGGCTGGGGAATCACGTACCCTACAATAAGGCTCCTTCTTTTTTATATCTTCTTGTTGGATCAGTCTCAGGCCCTGGACGCCATTCTGAAGACCTCTTTCATATAAGGCCTGAAGTCTGGGAATTTCTTCTTGTTCAACAGCTACTATAAGCTTTAAAAAGGAGATGAAAAGCATGGATTTCAGTTACACATATAATCAGCTATGAAAGATAAATAAAAAACAATAAAGTGACAAGTTGGATTCATTTAAAGAAATTTTCTTCCCATGATGTATCTACTTATGTCCTTTCTTTACTATCTCATTTTCTTCTTCCACCAAAATAACAGCTGTCTTTAAAAACCTGCATTTAAAAAAATCTTCCCCAAAGATGACCTACATCCTCAATTTCTACATCTGCTATAACAGTCTCTACATACATCTTGGCCATAAGCACCTCTTATCACTATCACCTCTCAGAAGGATTGAAAAGCACAGGTTGCTTACTCTATAACTGTTTGTCTTTTCCACAAAGAAGAACGGCCTATTCATTTCTGATAGAACATAAACTACCAGTCAAAAAAATAGCCAGTAGTCAATATAAAAGTATATCACTGACTGAAAATTAATTATATTATTTCCTGGAATATATAAAGCACATTATAAAATAGTTACTAATATTCTCCTGCGTATGAAAACAAGAGTAAATTAATCAAAAAATTTACTCACTTCGCTGTTTAATTTTGGGCAAAATATCTGTTTGAACTAGAGTTTCTATCTAACTTTGCCCAGCAAATAAAGGCACAGTTGTATATTTACTGCTACATTAGAATTCACAATGACTATTCCTTAGCAAGGAGTCATCAGAATTTCATGAGGCAAAATTTTAAATCAAAGTATAAAGGTTATTCAAGTTATCAGGTAACTTTAAAATATAGGCCGACTCAAAGGAAATTATCAAGAAAGTGAAAAGATAATCCATAAAATGGGAGAAAATACTACTCAACAATAAAAACCGTAAATTCAGTTTTATTCTCCTTTTTCCATTTAACACTATGCCAGATCCATTTTCCCACATTAAAAAAAATCTTGATAGCATGTCTAATCGTTACACAGAATGAACTTTTATTCTTAAAGTGAGAGGGAGAAGAGATATTACTATCAACCTTAAACAAATAGAATCACTAAGAAGAAACTATGAACAATGGCTTGCCAACAAATCAGATAACCTAGAATAAATGGACAAATTCCTAGAAATATTTAAACAAGTTTTAGTAGAAGCAGAAAATATGAATAAGGCTATAAAAATATTAAATTAATAAATTTAAAACTTCCCACAAACGAAAACTCTGTATCAGAGGACTTTAAAAATAAATGCTACCAAATGTTTAAAGGAGAATTGTAACCAATTTTTCAAAAATTCTTCAAAAAAACACAAGAGGAAGGGATACTTCCCAGGTTATTCTATGAAGCCAGTACAAGCCTGCTCATAAAATCAAAGGACATCACAAAAAGGTAAAACTGCAGCCCCCACTCTCTTAAGAACACTAATACAAAAATCAACAAAACATCTTTATTATGATTTTCTATTTATCTTGCATAGAAAATTGTATATTTACTTAAAATCCAAGCTTTTCATCTTCTTTTTGAATTCAGCAACATATAGAAAGGATTATACATCATGAACAAGTGAGTTTTATTACAGGAATGCAACATCTATTTAACATGTGAAAGCTAATTAGTATAATATACCATATTAAGAAAGGATATAAACCACATAATCACTTCAATTAATGCAAAAAAAGGCATTTGAGAAAACCTAAAATGCTTTTCCTGATAAAAACAATAAAAAAAGTAGGACTGGAAAGAAACTTTCTTAATCTAATAAAGGGCATCTACAAAAACATAGCTAATATCATTCTTAGAACTCCTGCTGTGGCCCTGTAGGATAAACACTGGACGTCAAACTACAAGGTCAGCAGTTTAAACCAACCAAATACTCCTTGGAAACTCTACACAGAATCACTGTGAGTTGGAACTGACTCAATGGCACTTAACAACAACATCATACTTAATGGTGAAACACTGAATGCTTTCCCTCTAAAATCAGGAACAACAAAGGCTGTCTGCTTTCACCACCTCTGTTCAACTGGAGTTTCTGCCTAGAGCAATTAGACAAGAAAAAAAAAATTCTTTCTTCAGGGACTTCAGGCAAGATGGTGGACTAGGCAGACATTCTACATGGACCCTAAACAACAAAGATACATGAGACCAAATGAAAAAGACACTGATGATAATCCTGGAATCCTGAACTTCAGAGGAAAGGTTGGAGAAGAAGATTGAGTGCTTGCTGGGAGTAGAAGCTGAGCAGGTGTGTCAGGCAAGAGAGAAAGACTGACTGATGCACGGCCAGCCAGACACTGTGTGATCACTGTGAATTTTTGTGAGCAGTTTTGACAACAGAAAGTGGTCTGGCAGAGCAGACTCACAGAGTGACATGCTTCCCTGGTGACTAGAGTTGTAGCCAGCTCCCACTCTCATTCACTTCCAGCACAGCTCCAGACCTACAGAACCTACAGTCACCAGACCAGCATTTAACAATTAACCCTGCTCCCAACTGCCCTATGGTCCTAACACACACTGAAACAGCTCTATCAAGGACCCCCAGGAACTACTAGATTGAGTGTCCAGAAAGGACTGAGTGTCCTGAACCTAGATAACCCTGAGGTCAATAGGAACTCCATCTAGGGATAGGAACTCTGCTATCACATCCCTCCCACACTTCACCACCCCCACCCAAGTTTTCTCCTCAATAAATTAAAACATCAAATTTTAAAACATCAAACTACTCCAAAGCATAATCTCAAATAACAATACTATAAAATTAGAAAACAACAATAGGAAGATCAAGGGAAAAAAATCAAATACATGGAAATTGAACAGCAACTTGTTTAAAAGCTACTGGGTAATAAATCAAATAAAAAGTCCCTGCGTCAAACAAGAATGAAAATATAACTTACCAAAACCTTTGGGACGCAGCAAAAGCAATGCTCATAGAGCAAATTCTAATAATAAATGCACACATGCATGAAGAGGAAAGAACCAAAATCAACAGCTTAACTCAAAACCTCCAACAATTAGAAAAAGAGCAGGAAATATGTGAAAAAATGTGAAAACAGAGGTAACCATTTGGCCCAGCAATTTCATTTCTAGGTATATGCCCAAGATAATGAAAAACACACACATCTACACAAAAGCCTGTACACCAATGTTCACAGTAGCATTATTCATAAACTCCAAAACATGGAAACATTCAAAATGTTCATCAAATGATGAATGGATTAGCAAAATGTGATATCCTATTACAATGGAATACTGTTTGGCAATAAAAAGAAACGAAGTACTATACAGGCTTCAATATAAATGAACCATGAAAACATACTAAATAAAAAAACCAGTTACCAAAGACTACACATTATATGGTTCCATTTATATGACATAACCAATAGGTAAATCCACAGAAACAAAAAAGTACATTAGTGTTTCCCAGGAGTTAGGGGAAAGGAGAATGGGAAGTGACTGCTAATAGGTATCAGACAAGTTCCAAAACTAAATATTGGTGATGGTCATACAACTCCACGAATATACTAGAAAACTGAATTGTATACTTTAAAAGGGAAAATATGGTAACCAAAACACCAAACCCACTGCCACTGAGTCAATTCCAACTCATAGTGACCCTACAGGACAAAGTAAATTGTTTGCCAAAGTGCTATACCATTTTACATTCCTATCAGCAATAAACGAGTGTTTCAATTTCTCCACATCTTTGTTAATACTTGTTATTTTTGTCTTTTTTATTTTAGCCATAGTAGTAGATATAAAGTGGAATCTCATTATTCATTTTCAGTTCCTCATTGAATAGTGATGTTAAGCATCTTTTCATGTACTTATTAGATATTCATGTATCTTGTTTGAAGATCTTTATGGAAAAAGATTGTGATACTTTTTTTTCCATGTAGCAGCTGGTACACTCAAATTGTTGACCTTTCAGTTAGCAGCATAAATTAAATCTTAATAAAGCTGTTATTTAAAAATCACAAAGTTTCATATAATAATTTCTTTGTTATTCTGCAATATTATAGTTTATAAATTTCATTACTTCAAAACTAAAAAGAAGAGAAAGCAAGGTTTTTCTAAACTATTACTATTCAACATTAAACATCAATAAGAAAATTTCTGTTGTTGTAAAGTGCTGTCAAGTCGGTTCCAACACATAGTGACCCTGTATAGGGTTTCCAAGGAGTGCCTGGTGAGCTTGAACAGTCAACCTTGCGGTTCAAACTGAATTTGCAGTCCAGCACGTTACCCCATAGCACCACACTAAGAAAATATTAGGTATAAATAAGTCCTGGCCCAAGTAAAATGCCATACCTTGCCACATTGCTTGTAGGAAATTCCCTTTTTGTTACAGTACTCATAGATGAGGGATGCGCCTTGTACACATAATTTAGCTTTCAGAGATGCGGGTTTATAATAAATTCCACTATGTATGACACCACTGTTATGCCCAGTCTGGTGAAGAGCTACAGAATAAGAGAAACTAGGTAAGAAAAAGTGCATCACTCACGTAAAACCTAAAAGGTAGGGGAACAAACTTAGATAGCTGAAGTTATTAGGGACCACCTTATTCAAAACTCTGATTGAATTTATTTGAATCAGAGTACTGGCCATATCCTACAGCAAACGGGTCCATGTCATATTTCCCCAGGTCATTTCTGATTTCAGCCATAACTCTAGTACAGACTCACCACTTCAAGGCCCCACGAAGGCTCTCTGAATTCTGCCCTGGGGCCTTTTTTTAAAAAATGTTTTATTGTGAGTTATGCGATAGTTTACATGGGAGAACATTAGCTTTACATTCATCCTTTACAATCATATATCATTTCATTGCCATGGTTACAATCTTTGGGGCCTTTTTAAAGTGTCAGAGAAGGTTAGAATTAAACACCCTAGGACAATCCTCAACCAATAGGGACAGATGGTAGTGGTAGTGATGTGCTATGGAGTCAGTTCCGACTCATTGCGACCCTGTATAGGGTTTCTGAGGTTGTAAATCTTTATGGGAGTAGAAAGCCTCATCTTTCTCCCGCGGAGCAGCTGGTACTTTCAAACTGCTGACCATAAGGTTAGCAGCCCCACTCATAACTACTATGCTACCAGAGCGCCTTGGTGATGGATAAAATTAGCATAGTGGAATCAAACTCACAGCAGTGATACTGATAATGTAACTTCACATGGTTTTTCTTCCTTCCCTTCCTTACGGTCCCATTCCTTCATCCTTGCCTCCTGGGATAACCTTTCAAATAAATCATCTACATCCAAGATGGAGTCCCAGGTTCTCCTTTCATAAGAACCCAAACTAAGACACAATTTCAACATTCAGTATGAAAGATTCCACAATGACAAAATGAGCAGGTGCTCAGGTTAGCCAGAAGAACATGGATAATTTACATACCTAAATCTTTTTCCTTTTCCAGAAGACCAATGGAAAGTGCTGAATGCCGCTGGATGAGTGCTCTGGCAGAGGCAAGACCCACAATTCCACCACCAACGATGACAACATCAAATGAGCTTGAAGAGAAAAATCACCTTTAAAGTCATGCCTGTTTACAGTTGTTAGGTTCCAAGGAGTCAGTTCTCACTTCACCAAACTTCATACGTAAAGCTTTCGTCATCAATGAACAACTACAGTATTAATCTGTGATCATTAAAATAAGATACTTAATTGGGCATTGTGCTATTTTTCTCTACATTCAGGAACAATTCTCTAAAAATTACACATACTGCTGGTCATTACTATAGTTGCTATACTCTACCGTTAGGCCGGGTGGCTAGTTGCCAGTGACTCTAATATCCACAGTATCTAGGTTGGTTACATCATTGCTTTCTTTGTGCTAAGCATTATATTTCTTTGCCACCTGCCTTTTAAATTTTTAAGTGTAGGAATCAAGAACCTTTACAATGAGAACTTAAGGTCAATAAACCTAGGTTTTATAGGACCAGTAGGGTAAGGAAATTTCAAGTTCAAGACCTTCCTTTGAAAACTGATCTGAGGTCTCAGTTTCAAAATTATTAGCAGAATGCATCAATTTAATTGCATTTGTTACCATATCGGTGGCTATGTCTGAAACTAGAAACAGGTACTGGATAATCAACGATAAAGCTTAATAAATCAAAATCTGCACCTTAATTTGGAAGTCATAAGAACCTAAATTTCAATCTTTAATGCAAAAGACACAAAACTTGGACTGGGAAAGGCTCTAGGTGGTTCTCAACTGCTGGTGGTTTTTACATGCAGCCAGTACCTTTAGAGAGCTGGATGAAATGGTTACCAAGGTGTGCATGAGACAGTGAACACAGATTTAAGAAGTAAGGATGCAGTAATTGCAGCACAATGAAATGAGATTCTAAGTCCACTGTATCAATATGGGTTACAGGTAAATACTTGCACTTGTCAACTAAAAATTCCTGAGATCAGAGTGTACATGAAAGTCTGAAGTTATAAACAGTTTTATTTTTTTAACACAAATTTCACTGAAGGTAAAATATTCACATTCCACTACAGTAACTTACACTGATTTGTAACTCTTGACCTGTTATATAACTTTCACAATAAGTAAATCTTTTATGAATTCCAAAACAAAACAAACCATCAAAACAAAAAACTTGCTTTTAGGAATTTCACATAACTATTATATTTAGAATAGGCTTTAGATTTTTTTAAAAGTGTCCAGAATCTTCTATTAAGCAGTTTCAAAGTATTTATAAATACTTAAGATACGGCTAAGTTTATGACTTAGTACTTATTTTATGTACTTCCCTCTTATATATCAAAGAGATATTAATAAGTAAACTGTAAACAGCCCACAAGGACCAATGGAAGGAATGTGTGAGAGAGAATACACGTACACGGTCTTTTCATGTTGTGTTTTCTTTCTTACTTTCAGGATAAGCGGTAATGCTTTCCTAGGCCATCAAGTTTTGCTTTCCTGTGAAAGGTGGAATGGCTTTGCAGGGGTAGGTTTTTATGCTTTTTTTGGGTTATCTTTTAATGTTTTATTGAAAATTATGTGATATTTTACATGGGAGAACATTAGCTTTACATTCATCCTATCCTATATCATTTCATTGCCATGGTTACAATCCCCTCCATGCATTATCAACCAACCAAAGAGGATACCCTGAAAGCCTGCACGCACGCACACGCACACACGCGCACACACACACACACACACACACACACCCCGGGCGTCAGCACACCACAGCTCCTCTCCCTCTCTGGGTCTATAGTCCCCAGCCGCTCCATTTCTCCACGTCATCATCTCTGCCTCCATCTCAGGCATCACTGCTTCGCTGGTTAGGGTCCCGCTCTCCGCTCTCCGCTCTTCTCCCTTGATGGTCCCAGGGAACTGCACTCCTAGATTGCAAAGTCAATTACTTCCCTCCTTTTGCTACAAAACATCTACCTTTACATTTCCAACCCTTACAATCAGTCCTAATAACAATTATTCACTATTGTATCACAAGAGACCTATCCGCATCTCCTTTCATTAGCCCGCCCAGACAGACTGGATAGAATCAGTGGAGATTCTACCTTCCTCCGAGCACTATGCATCTAGGTTCCCTCTTGAAAGCTTGTAAGCCAGTCATTTCTTGCCTTTGTAGCCCCCCATTTTGGGTAGCCAATGTCCAAGTTGCCGATCCCGCTCTACTCTGTGTATGGAGGGGGGTGGGAATGATCATCGCTGTAAAGATTTGTACCCTCTTTTGAGCTACTGCATCCATAGGTGTAGGTTAAGTTCGTCAAATTGTATCAGATTACTCTTTGTTTCCTCTTCTTTCTTATTCTAGTTCACCTCTGACCATCCAGTCATTGAAGTCAAGTGGGTATTATGTGCAAGGGTAGGTGTTCTTATGCATACACTCTCTCTTCTTATCAGCTGGACACATCACTCTCCACTCTAGTCCTCTGTGGCTGTGTCACTGACTCTGGGCCCAAGATCTTGCCACACTGCTTGACAACCAGGTCTCCACCTGGGTTCACAGGAGTCTATTAAACATTGCAGATAAACTAAGCTGCTTAGCTCGCAGCTTCATTGCTGTTATTACCTTACTTCCCCTTATCTGTGACGAACGTGGTCACCAATCAGAGCATGTATTCCCACTGAGTCTTAGTCTTGGAAGGGGGTTTGACCACTTGCCTTGATGTCTCCTGGGCAAGCCACTTGCTTGTTCTTGTAGCAATCAGTCGGACTGCCATTATTGTTTTGTATTTTTCATGTAGGTCTTTCTTTCAAGAAGTATCTTCTGTTCTTTTAGCCGCTCCAGGCTGGTCTGCTTGTGCTTTCAAGTGGAAATTTCCTACCTCAGAAGATTCTGGATGCAGTTCAAGATTCCACCTATGGTCTTATGTAATGCAGAGGCTCCGCAGGAAGCCTCCTTCACTGGTCATGTTATAGCCCCATTTAGGTATTCCAATCAGTTATAGGCAGAAGATGGACTTACAAGCTTTCTATGGTGATATTTCTGGCTATTCCTTTCTCTCCCCCTCAAGTGGCTATTTTATAATGCTATGCCAGGGTAATCAAGATTTAAAAGACAGCCAAGCATCTTAACATTATTTCCCCTCTTCCCCCAATCCCAACCATGTGTCAAATCCTGTATCCCAGAGCCCTGTTGTTCCAAGGTTGTGCATACATCATTATTTACCTCTGTCCCACTTAGCCCATGCAAACCTACCTAATTGTTTTCCTGTCCGCTTTGTTCTTCCATTTCCCTCCCCGTTCTTGTGTATTGCTCCCCCTCCCTAGCACCCAAACTATCCTGTGTCTATTTCCTACCCTGTGCTCCACCTTCCCTGCCCTCCCCTCACTCCACCCCCCACAACCCAGTAACCAGCAAAGAATCCCCACCACCCTTTAGTATGGGTTCTTTTTCTTAGTCTTTTACAATAGTAGTCTATGCAGTATTTCTCCTTTTGTGACTGATGAATTTCACTCAACATAATGTCCTCAAGGTTCATTCATGTTATGCGGTGGCTTGCAGCTTCCTTGTTATTCTTCAAGGTAGCATAATATTCCATTGTGTGTATGTACCACAGTTTATCCATTCTTCC